CTGCATTGGGCCCAGGGCTGCTCCCCCCACCTCCCTCCCATGGCTACTTGGAGTCTGGGCCCACTCCATCCACTGCCACTTCCCCCTGTACTCCCCCCACACCCACTCTGTCCCCGCTGTCATGGCAGCGCTCTGCCACTGCCTCCTGTCCAGAATGCTCTTGGAGTACTCCGATGGATTGTTTCAGACAACCTGAGTGCAAATAGTTTGTTTGTCCATAATGTTTTAAGGCTTTTATAATATAAGATTTATGACTAATATAAATGTTATAATTCTATCGCTAATTAGCATAGTAATTGACTAGATAATTATATTATATTCACCCCATTACCACCAATCACCAGATTCAGGTGAAACTGCTGAACGTCTCCTCCAGAAACAGACTGGGAAGTGGTGCATGTGCTCTTACCACAGCCCTTCCCTTTCCAACCCTGAATGATGTCTCCCAGAAACAGAAGCACGGGGCAGGCACAAGTCTTGTTGCACATGCCTCTGTTTTGAGGGGCACCTCAGTGCGGAACTAAGAGGCTGACAAAGAAAAGTGCACCAGCCTGCCTTACGTTACATGGACAGGCATGCAGCTTCTATTGTAGCTCTTCTTGGTTTGGCTTCAACCAATCTCCTGAAAAACAAAGGTGTGTAGGACACCACCCTGGAAATAAATTCTGCTGCCACTAAGCAGAACTACTCCAAGTACCTCTTTTTTCAGGAGACAAACTGTAGCTGGACTAGGAAGAGCAGAACCAGCACACCTGCCTGCATAGTGAAACAAAGGCAGGCTCAGCTTTCTCCTGCAGCCACTTCCCAGCTCAGCTCTGATGCATCTCCTTAAAACAAGTATTTAGGGAAGTTTCACTCTGCAATGGTGAGGCACCCCCTGACAGGATCTTACAGCAAGCACCCCGGCTGAGAACCACTGGTCTAAACCCTAGCCAAACTTACGCCTTTCCAGGAAAGAGTCATATTTCTTCTTCCTAGGCCAACAGAACAGCTTTATATTTGCAGAAGACCTGCCCTAAGTCACAAGTATGGAATTCATTTGCATAAGTGCACCTACCAGGCTGCTTTGCCTCTTAAAGTCTACTCAGTCCTACAGTCATCAGCATAGGCTAATGTACCCAGGCTGGGATCTATTTAAGCAACACTGTCCTTCCTCTTACTAGATTAGCAAACTCTGTCTTTTCCACAAGAATGTATTAGGCTTGGTGCAAATCCTCCTTGACTGGCTTGAGTGGTGCTCTCTTACCCAGTTCAGTCACTTGTCGATCAAAAGGGCAACGAACAGCTCTGCCATGAAGAGGAAGGCGGGTCAGGCAGTCGTGGCAGACAGTGTGGCCACACAAGAGCAGCCGAGGAACTTTATCACCTTGCAAAGAAAACACATCTTCGCAGACGCCGCACTCCAGAACCTGCAGGGAAGGAGAAGGCATGGTTGTTTTTAAGCCCTGGGCAAAACCAGTTAGTCACGCTGGCAGCTCCTTCACAAAGGAGAAAAGCCTTTGGCATTTGGGCCGCGGCTGCTCCCCTTCCCCATGCTCAGCTCCACCGAGGCTTTGGGTGTTAAGACTGGCACAGGCTACAGCCACGTCCCACTGGGGGCTCCAGGGGCTGCCCGCTGCTGTGGCCTCAGCGCCTGCTTCCCCGCAGGGCCCCACACCTCCGGCTCCGGCCCCCTAGGCTTTGGCCCGGGCAGTGCCGCCCCCGCAACAGCCTAGGGCTGCCGGCAGGGCGGGGCGGGGCGGAGCGGAGCAGCGCCGGGCGCTGCGCTCTCACCTTCACAGCAGCCCCCGGCGGCCCGCGGCCACCGCCCTGCCCTCGGCCGGCATCCAGCCCCGCGCCAGCCCCGACCTTGTTTACGCCGAGAGCCGCCATGTCGACAGAGGGCGGAGCCAACCACAGCCGCTGCCGGGCGTCTCCTGACTCGGCGGCTGCAAGGGGAGGGGCCGAGCCGCGCGCTCCGGACCACCTTGCTCTGTGACGTCACCAAGCGGCGCAAAACGGCCAGGAGCCACCGCCCCGCCCGGCACCTGCCCGGCTGATGAAGACTGCAGCTCCCGTCATGCTCTGTCCGGACTGCAAATCCCGACATGCGCAGCAACCAGCAGGAGGCCGCAGGCCCCACCCTGCACAGCCCGCTCTTACCCAGGCGGTGTAGCACGCCCGTACCGAGGCCCGCAATGCACGCTGGGACTGGTAGTTTTCTTGGCGGCCCTGGCGCGGCCAGGTGGCGCGTGGCCCTCTGGGATAGGCGTTTCCGCTGTCTAGAGGGACCCGCTTAGGCCGGCGCCCCTTGGCAGTTCGCCGCGTTTCCCCCGCGGGCGACGCATTGTGGGCCTCGGTGGGCGCCGTAGGCTCGTGGAGGCCGCGGCGATGGACGTGAACCAGCCGAAGCAGGAACATCTCCTGGCGCTGAAAGGTGCGAGCCGGGGCCGCTGGGGCTGCCTCGTGCGGTACGGCCCAGGTCCTTCCCGCAGCCCACGGAGCTGCCGCCGGGCCGCGGGCGCTCTCGGGCCGGGGCGCGAGTGTCC